CAGATCAGAGAGCAAACTGATTTTGGAGAGTGCGGAATGTTCTAGAGAAGTGCCACCACCATCCGGCTTTTATTTATAATGGAGATTATATATAAAAGTAATATTTAATGCCGAGTTCGCTATCAGTGTAACTGGGTGAAGCCTAAGTGTTCTTACAAGGAACAACACTAACGCAGAAAAATAAAGTCACAGTAGTACAGAGAAGTCCCAAAAATTTCAATGTGTCTCACTCCTGTTGTATTATAATTTCACAGTCCGACTTGACATGCATTCATCATGGAGTGGGCTCATATAGTTCCAGGAGGATCCAAATAATCTTGAAGTCAATAGGCCATAAACACGAGAGCATCACCGGGGACACGCACCTGCCTCCCGGCCGCGGCCGTTCACCCCCACCAGAGGACTGGCAGAAATCAGCCACCGTGCCTTAGGGGCGGGGGGGGGGGCCCTCCAGGGAGCATAAATGGCTGGCCTGTCCAGTAGACAGACCTAGTTGACGGCTGGGGGGGGTACCAAAAAGAGAGGGGGCCACATGCAGCAGCAGGGGGCAGGGCAGCGAGGGAGCTGAACCAGCATTCAGCTGAACATGTCTAGTGTACCAACTCAGAAGTTAGCCCAACTATGCTCCATGGGATGTAAGCATGCTTCGGTTTGTGGCCTTTGGAATGAGCCAGTCGATGTTGCATTATGTTTGGGGGGGGGGGTACCAATTCATGGATCGCACATGGGTGTAAACTCCAGTCACGTCACAGCTGACTTACGGTGACCCTATAGAGTTTCGAAGGGAAGAGACATTGAGGGGCGGTTTGCCGTAGCCTGGCTCCTGGGCACCACGATCTTGGCCTTCCTTGCTACATCTCCCATCCAAGGACTAACCGGGGCCGACCCTGCTTAGCTTCCAAGAGCTGACAAGGTTGGACTAGCCTGGGCAGAAACACAATGGTGGTGGTGGGACGGCTATCCAAGTCGGGACTGACGATCAGTGGGGGAAAGCACCGTCAAGTCACAGCCAGCTTACGGCGACCCCACACGGGATTAAGAACATAAGAGACGCCAATGTTGGATCAGGTCAAAGGTCCATCCAGTCCAACACTCTGTGTCACACAGTGGCCAGAAATACCAGTGCCATCAGGAGGTCCACCAGTGGGGCCGGGACATTAGAAGCCCTCCCCCCTGTTGACCCCCCCCCCCCAAGCCCCAAGATGACAGAGCATCACTTGCCCCACAGCCCCTATCTATACCTTGTGGCTAATGGCCACTGATGGACCTCTGCTCCATATGCTTCTCTAATTCCCTTTTGAAGCCGTCCATGCTTGTAGCTGCCACCACTTCCTGTGGCAGTGAATTCCATGTGTTAATCACTCTCTGGGTGAAGAAGGACTTCCTCTTATCCCTTCTAACCCGACCGCTCAGCAGTTTCATGGAGTGCCCACGAGTTCTTGTATTGTGAGAAAGGGAGAAAAGTACCTCTTTCTCTACCTGCTCTTTCCTATGCATAATCTTATAAACCTTGATCATGTCACCCCTCAGTCAAGGCAAGAGACATTCAGAGGCGGTTTGCTATGGCCTGACTCTGCGTAGCGACCCTGACTGACCAGGGCCAGCCCTGCTTAGCGCCCGAGATCTGATGAGGTCAGGCCAGCCTGGGCCATCCAGGTGAGCCCATAGTCATTGTGTGCCCTCCAGACACAGCCAACTTACGGTGATCCCCCCCCCCCATAGAGCAGAGGCGTCAACCTCATTTTCTACCAGGGCCCAATCTGACATAAATGTGGCTTCGTTGGGCCAGGCCACGTATGCCATAAGATGGAATGACTAGGCCCCCCATGTGTGGAAGATAGGGTTGCCATCCCCCCCCCCCCACACAGCAATGTTGCACAACGTGCCTATGACACCTGGGGGGGGTGACACTCTGGTTTTTGGGCAAAACTCTATGGCTTGAGGATGCTTTTACCATAGAGTTTTGCCCCAAAACCAGAGTGCTGCTCCCCCATGTGCCTACATCACTTCCGGGTGACATAGTGTGCAACCAGTGATGGCCCAAGGTTTTTTCGCCCACTAGGCGAGGATACATTCCGGTGGGGGGGGCTGGTGGGGGGCAGGATGGGGGTGGGTGCCAGAACCTCAGCGGGCAGGCCGAGGGGGCAAGCTGTGAATGCATGCGGGGGGCAGGATCACTCGAGGGGAGGGGCCTGTGCCAGGCTGCAAAAGGAGCTCCAAAGAGACCACGGGGCCGGGGCGGTAGAGGGCGAGCGGCACTTTCCCGTCCTCCGGGGCTGTTCCCAGCGCCTGTCCCCCCCCCGCCTCCTTCTCTTTCTGTCTGGGGGGCTGTAAAGAGGAGAGTCTCTTGCCCTGGAGGGAGCAAGAAGTCGGCAAGGGAGGCTTCCCGTGTGGGGGGAGGAGGGGACGAGGCCAGCCAGAATGGTGCCCTCATCGAGCCGACACCCTAGGCAACAGTCTAAAATTTAACAATAACGGGCTGGCCCTGTTTGCAACATGCCCCCCCCCCGCGCGCGCATCCCGCCAACCCTAGTGGAAGAAGCTGCTGAAGGAGGTCCCCCCATGGGCTAAAGTGCAGCTGCCGCAGCGGTGTGTGTGTGTGTGCGAATATGGCAGTGGCACTGGCTGCCAGCAGGCCCCAGCAGAGGATTGTCTGCGCCCCCCCCTGCCCCACCCCGCCCCCCATGTGCAAACGCCGATCCCCACAGCCATCCAAGGCAGCATCCCCGGGTCCGCAGGCTGAGCGGAGAGGCGTGCAACCTCGCCCTGGAACCCTGAGCTGTCGGGAATGCGGCTGCGGTGGCTCCCAACTTACCGGGGAGGCTACCACTGAAGCCAGGGGGTCCTGCTTGACGGCTGCGGACGAGGCTGGGCCGGCCACAATTGGAGTGGCTCCGCCCCTCCCCCTCCCCATAGCCTCCTGTTCCCTCCCTGGCCCCAGATAAGAGCCCTGGATGGGCTGGTTCTGCCCCACCAGCCTGATCTTTGACACCCCTGGGCCAATGTGCCCTCTAAGCTGTGGAGTCTTGTGAGTGAAAACTCTACTTTGTGAGCTAATGGTATTAAAGTGGTGAGTGAGCAATTTGGCTACTGCATAAATTAGTTCGCTCTGGAGCCATCTTTCCTGAGCTGAGACAAAACTGTGTGAGTCGGAGGCTAAAAAATGGTGAGCTAGCTCACACTCACTCAGCTTAGAGGGAACATTGCCCTGGGCTATAGGGTTTTCAAGGCAAGAGGTGGCTCTGCATTGTGACCCTGGACTTCATTGGGGGTCTCCCATGCAAGTACTAGTTTGGTGTAGTGGTTAAGTGTGCGGACTCTAATCTGGAAGAAGCGGGTTTGATTCCCCACTCCTCCACTTGCACCTGCTGGGTGACCTTGGGCAAGCGGTAGTTCTCGTATAGCTGTTCTTGGAAAAGAGCAGTTTCTGTCAGAGCTCTCGCAGCCCCGCCTACCTCACAGGGTGTCTGCTGTGGGGAGGGGAAGGGAGTTTGTAAGCCGCTCTGAGACTCCTTCGGGTAGTGACGGGCGGGGTATAAATCCAATCTCTTCTTCTTGATTCCCCACTCCTCTGCTTGCACCTGGCTGGATGACCTTGGGCAAGCGGTAGTTCTCGTATAGCTGTTCTTGAAAAAGAGCAGTTTCTGTCAGAGCTCTCGCAGCCCCGCCTACCTCACAGGGTGTCTGCTGTGGGGAGGGGAAGGGAGTTTGTAAGCCGCTCTGAGACTCCTTCGGGTAGTGACGGGCGGGGTATAAATCCAATCTCTTCTTCTTGATTCCCCACTCCTCTGCTTGCACCTGGCTGGATGACCTTGGGCAAGCGGTAGTTCTCGTATAGCTGTTCTTGAAAAAGAGCAGTTTCTGTCAGAGCTCTCGCAGCCCCGCCTACCTCACAGGGTGTCTGCTGTGGGGAGGGGAAGGGAGTTTGTAAGCCGCTCTGAGACTCCTTCGGGTAGTGACGGGCGGGGTATAAATCCAATCTCTTCTTCTTGATTCCCCACTCCTCTGCTTGCACCTGGCTGGATGACCTTGGGCAAGCGGTAGTTCTCGTATAGCTGTTCTTGAAAAAGAGCAGTTTCTGTCAGAGCTCTCGCAGCCCCGCCTACCTCACAGGGTGTCTGCTGTGGGGAGGGGAAGGGAGTTTGTAAGCCGCTCTGAGACTCCTTCGGGTAGTGACGGGCGGGGGATAAATCCAATCTCCTCTTCTGCCCCCCCCCCATGGGAATGGCTGGGGGCACCGATCAGGGAAGGGAGGGCTGAGATCCTGGGGGGGGGGGGGCTGGCCCAGTCCGGTGGCTGGTCTGGCTTTCTCTGGGCTGAGAGGCGTTCAGCACCAAGGAGGCCTCGGCGGGTCACCTCCGCTGACTTCCTCCTCCGCTTTGCAGGCACTTGGGCCACCCAGCCCGGAGCTTCTGATAGGACGGAGCGGGGGGGGGGGAATGGGGCTGCCGCCTGCCCCACACGCCCAGGTGCAGCTGAGTCTGCAGGGTGCATGGGGTGGGGAGGGCACATCCCGGGGAGCAGCCTGGGCCTTTGTTGTCTCCGGGCTTGAGATCGCTGGGTCCATAGATCCAGTTTGGTGTGGTGGTGAAGTGCGCGGACTCTAATCTGGGACAACCGGGTTTTATTCCCCACTCCTCCACCCGCAGCTGCTGGATGACCTTGGCCAGGCCATCGTTTTGCCAGAGCTGTTCTCGAAAGGGCAGTTCTGGAAAGAGCTCTCTTTCACAGGGTGTCTGTTGTGGGGAGGAGCTTGTAAGCCACTCTGAGACTCTGAGTGAAGGGCAGGGTATAAATCCTATCATCTCCTCCTCCTCCTCCTCCTCCTCCTCTTCTTCTTCTTCTTTCCCAGGACTCTACAAGGTGGGCACTGACTTTATTTCTACCCCACACCTTTCTCCCCAGTGGGGACCCAAAGCGGCTTCCGTCCCTCTCCCCTTCTTCATTTGACCCATACAATGACCCTATGAGGTAGGTGAGGCTGAGACTGTGTGACTGACCAGAGGCCCCCTAAGCAAGAGCAGGGATTCGAACCCAGAGTCTCCCAGACCCTCGTCCGATGCTCCAGTCTCTATGCCACGCCGGCTCTCCCGGGGGCGGTGGCGGTGGAAGGGCAGGGCAGGGTGGGGCTCTCCTTGGATTCCCATTCCACCGTCTGGTGGGGGGGCAGCACCCCCACCCCTGCCTCGGGGCACAAGGCGGGACTGTCGCTGGCGGCATTTCCGAGAGCTGGGTTCAAGGTCCGCCTCAGCCTCAGCCGCAGACAAGCGCTTCGCTCGGCTTCCTTTGCCTGCATCCCACACAGCCGCAGGCAGGTCGCGGGGAGGAGTCCTCGATGGCTGCTGCCAGATCCGGCCATGCTCTTTGCGCAGCAGGCGGAAAGAGCCGCTCCACACCCTTTGGGCCTCGCGGGCTCCCTGTGGTGCTGGCCTGGCCCCACACAGGCCCCGCTTTTGTAACCTCCGGGACACTGGCCTGCCTTTCGGGGGAGGCCAGAGAGACTGCCCTGTGCGGAACACAGTGTCCCACGTCCACACGGAGCACCGGGTGGCATTCGCCCGCCAGCCCAGTTCTGCAACCATTGCGCAACTCCAGGCGGGGCTTTGAACGTTGCCAGCCCTCGATCCCCAGCGCCCACGGGCGAGAGCCCCACCCCAGGCCAGCCGGGCCTCCATCCAAGGGTGGCTCAGCACTCCCTCCTGTCTGCGTGCCGCCTTCTTCTTCTTCTTCTTCTTCTTCTTCTTCTTCTTCTTCTTCTTCTTCTTCTTCTTCTTCTTCTTCTTCTTCTTCTTCTTCTTCTTCTTCTTCTTGGCCCTCTGCAGAACTGGGTGGAGGGGAGGGGGGGTGTCACTTCAGGTAGGGCCCCTTGGTTCTTTCTGCCCCCTTGGTTCTTTCTCTGGGGCAGAGAGTAAGGCTAGGCAGGGGGGCAGGCAGCTTGGGTTGGGGGGGGGGGGTTTAATGTATTCAGAAACTGGCAGCATGGACCATAACGCTTTTGGCAGGCTGCTGTATCAAGACCGTGTGGGTCGGCTTTCATTGCTTAAGGCTGCAGCCCGCTTTTGTGGTAGAGATGGATACGTATGGATGGCCTTTGCCCGCTCCCTGGGCTTCCGAAGACCTTGGGGCTCCGTCGCCTGCCCCTCAGGGATGGGCCTAAACTCACTCTGGAAGGGACCCAGGGACTCCAGGAAGACGGGCCCATAAACCGCCATGAGTCTCAGAGAACCTCTGGATTCAGAGGCAGGACCTCTCTGGGTCCCAGAGCTGGGCAGCCTTGGCCTCGGCGCCCTCTCTCTCGGTCCTCCGGGGCAACTGGCTGGCCCCTAAGTGGAACAGGATGCTGGGCCAGATGGGCCACACCGGCCTGATCCAGCACGGCTCCTCTGACAGCCTGATGTTCTTCAACCCCGTGGCCTGATTAGCTCAGCAGGTGGATCTGTCAGCTGCAGGATGTGAGCAACAACAAGGAAACGGAGGCTTGCCGAGAGGGAGCGGGAGGCACACAGGCGTGCACCTGATGAGGCAGCTGATGCCCTGCAGCCCCACCCTCACCAGCCTACGCAGCAGACGGGTGCCAGGATGAGCAGGGAAGTCCTCCTGGCGTGCTGGTTCTCCTCAGCCCCAGGAGCCCACAAAAGCTACCGCGGGAAGTCTTTAAGGAAGGGCCGCGGTGGCTCGGAGGTTAAAGACGCTGAGCTGCAGACCGGAAGGTTGTTCGTTCGGCAGTTCGAGACCCGAGTGTGCCGCATGATGGAGTGAGCTCCCGTCTCTGGTCCCTGCTCCTGCCAACCTAGCAGTTTGAAAGCAAGAAATTGTGAGTAGATAAATAGGTACCGCTTTGGTGGGAAGGAAACAGAGTACACATGACCACGTAAAAAGGTCTTCAGACAGTGCTGGCTCTTTGGCTTGGAAATGGAGATGAGTCTTGGAGCTCCTTAAAGGTAAAGGTTCCCTTGCTCGAAAGCCAGTTGAATCCGACTCTAGGGGCCGTGCTCATCTCCATTTCCAAGCCAAAGAGCCAGCACTGTCTGAAGACCTTTTTACGTGGTCATGTGTACTCTGTTTCCTTCCCACCAAAGCGGTACCTATTTATCTACTCACAATTTCTTGCTTTCAAACTGCTAGGTTGGCAGGAGCAGGGACCAGAGACGGGAGCTCACTCCATCATGCGGCACACTCGGGTCTCGAACTGCCGAACGAACAACCTTCCGGTCTGCAGCTCAGCGTCTTTAACCTCCGAGCCACCGCGGCCCTTCCTTAAAGACTTCCCGCAGTAGCTTTTGTGGGCTCCTGGGGCTGAGGAGAACCAGCACGCCAGGAGGACTTCCCTGCTCATCCTGGCACCCGTCTGCTGCGTAGGCTGGTCCTAGAGTCTTATTCAACTGGCTTTCGAGCAAGGGAACCTTTACCTTTAAGGAGCTCCAAGACTCCCGTTCCTTTTCCCTTGGGTGTACAGGACTCTGGAGGAGGCAGCAGTGGACGGCTTTGGCCAGCATGCCGGCCCCAACGCCTGCGTCCAGCCTTGCCAGAGATAAAGCACCAAGCGGCACGTCAGCTGCAAAGCACCAAATATTGTCACACGTCAAAAAAGCAAATGCTGTCAAATTTCAGTCCTCAAATATCACTGGGTAGCACAAGCAGATGCCAACTGTTTGGCAAAGACTTGAGCATTTTGAGAATGACTGGGAAATATCTGGCACACAAAACTTTGCAGAAAGCGATGCTGAGAAACAAATCGGGATCAAGAGTCTCTACAGTCCTAACAAGAGAAATCGACAGGCAACTCCTGTCAGGCTCCTCCTGGGCGTTAATATTTCGGTGCCTGTCTCCAGAGGCGGTCCGAGCCCATGGCACGAGGGCACCAAAAGGGTATTGGCGCTGGTGAGGCCAGGTCACCTGACTTCATTCATCCTCTCTCGGTGGAAACTGTTTCCCCCAGGCCCAGGTTTTACGAGGACTGAAATTCTGACCTCTCACTCACGGGATGGTAAAACATGGCAGGGAGGCCGGAAGGAATGTTTGGCTACGGGGTGGGGCAGGATGGTAAATTCCAGAAGCGAATATTTCAGCCCGGAAGATGCTGCCAGTCCCGCTTGGCCATGATGGAGCACCGGAGGGGGATCTGTCCCGGCAGGAGGGAAGCAGCCCTGCTCCCTGGCCGCCACCTTTGCCGTTGCTGGCCTTTCCCTGCATGGCCTCCAGAGCACACAGAGAGTGTGCCACTCTTTGTGCCAACTGGTCCATCCCAAAGTGCCACAATTAAAATTGATTGATTGATTGATTTTATTTTTTTATTTATACCCCGCCCTCCCAACGGCTCAGGGCAGCTTTGTTAGCTTACCTATGGCAAAGCCAGAGTAAAATACAATAAAACATATAATAAATTACATATTTAAAACACAATAAAACCATCCTATCACATGGTGCTGAGCCTATATTTAATCTTCCAAGATGGACAACCACCTAAATTTGATGGCCAGCTCTCTCAGCAACGCGGTTTCCTGCTACGCTGTTCTACCAGGCTGGGCCAGTCCCCCTTTAACAGGGCTGCTGATGGCACACTACCTCGTTGGTAGGATAGTGGCGGTGGCGGCTCCTACTCAAACGCCTGGCGGAAGAGCTCTGTCTTGCAGGCCCTGCAGAACTGCATAAGGTCCCGCAGGGCCCGGATCTCATCTGGGAGCTCATTCCACTAGGTAGGAGCTGCCACCGAAAATGCCACCCTTCTATCCCACCCTCCCAGCCGAAACTGGCATGGGGAGAAATGCCTGCCGGAGCCAGCTCTGTCTAGTCCCGCGTCCTCTTCCCCGTAGTGGCTAGGAAGGGCCACAGCCCGTTCCCGCGTGGGCGATCTGCCCTGGGTCCGGTGCTGCTGGGTCTCCTGCTTCCCCTCAGCACTCCGGGGGCTTCCGTGCACCACCTGCATGTCCCTGGACCCTTCTGCACCCTTTCCCCACCCTGCTCGGCTCAGATGCTTCCGGAAAGATCGCAGCCGAGTCCGCCCAGCCGGCAGGTGCTCAGGACAAGTCTGGGTTGGGCCCGTCCTGCCCCTGCCGCGTCCCTTGACCAGCCCCGACTGCAACCAGGCAGATTTGGGGAGGCTTTCTTCCAGTCAGCAGTGGGCCTTTTGATGCCATGGTGTGACTGCGTGCCTTTTATTTGTAATTATTTATTTACGTCGCTGATAGCCCACCTTTTCCACAGGGATCCAGGGCGGATTGCACAGAGTGAGCCCGTACCAGTTTTAAAAAACTCAGGAAAGACCCTGCTACATAGTGGGGTTAAGCTCAAGTGGTTAAGACGCTGAGCTGCAGACCAGAAAGTCGGTAGCTCGGCAGTTTGAGACCCAAGTGCCGCATGGCGGAGTGAGCTCTCCTCTCTGGTTCCAGCTCCTGCCAACCTAGCAGTTCGAAAGCAAGACATTACAAGTAGATAAACAGGTACTGCTTCGGTGGGAAGGTCACAGCGTTCCGTGCACCTTGGTGTCTAGTTATGCCGGCCACATGACCATGGAGACGTCTTCGGACAGCGCTGGCTCTTCAGCTTGGAAATGCAGATGAGCACCGCAACCCTAGAATCGGATTTGTCTGGCTTTTGAGGGAGGGGAACCTTTCCTTTTACCTTACATGGTGGGGAGTGGGGAGGGAACAAGAGCAGGGGCTGGGAGTAGGGCAGGAGAAATGCTGAGACAGCCGCCACTCAGGAGTCTCCTTGCTGGGCCTTCCGTGGGGCAGCTTTCAGGGCCAAATGGCCATTAAAGCCATGGGGGAAGTTCCAGTGGTCTGACATTCGGGGGACTGCCCCACTTCCCAGGGCCACCCCAGACCGAAGCAAAGAATGGGCACAATCCACTGCCAGCCCTTGTCACCCACCACCAAGTGGCATTCAGAAGGACTCTGCCTCTGAGCATGGAGGTCCCATCAGCTGCAGCAGGACCTTTCTTCTGAGATTTTGTCTAATCCCCTTGGTGGCTGTCGGTCACCACATACTGTGGCAGTGGGTTCCACAGGCCACTTCCTTTCTGAGTACAGAAATGCTTCTGTTTGTCTTTCCTGAACAGGTACTGACTGCTCCCTTGGTCGAGTGACCCCCACGGTTAGCGTGACAAGAGTGAGAGAAAACGTTTCTTCCCATCATGCGTGATTTCACAAACCGCCCTTCGGTGCTCCCCCCCCCCTTCTTTCCACCTGCTTTGAAGAGGTCCTTCTGGAGCCCTTTGGTCTTGCTGGGACTTCACCCCCCTGAACGCTTTGGGGCGTGGCTTCCTCGCTGCTTACTCCCACGCTGGACATTTTGAGGGAGCTGTTCTTTTTTAAGGGCAAAGAGCCAGATGAGGATGGACTGCTTGGGGGGGGGGCGCGGCGGCACCAGTGTTCCCTCTAAGCTGAGTTAGTGTGAGCTGGCTCACAGTTCTTTAGCCTCTGGCCCACACCTGTTTTTTTGTCTTCACTCAGGAAGGAGTGCTCCGGACCAAACTAATTTATGCAGTAGCCAGTGTTCCCTCTAAGCTGAGTTAGTGTGAGCTAGCTCACGGTTGTTTAGCCTCCAGCTCACACATTTTTGTCTTAGCGCAGGAAGGATG